TTGCCCAGGCTAGAGGGCTGTGGCATCCATTCTTGGCTTATAGCCAAGCCAGCAAATAACCTAAGCCAGTGTTGGGGGGTTAGGGGAAGGGAGGCTTATGCTCACAAATGGGATATGGGTTCTTTTGTTTGTTTACTTGTTTAGAGACAGGGCCTTGCTCTGTCTCCCAGACTAGAGTCTCATGGCATCATAGCTCACTGTAACCTCAAAATTCTGGGCTCAGGTGATCCTTCTGTCTCTGCATCCCTAGTAGCTGTGTCTATAGGTGCATGTCACCATGCCCAGCGAATTTTTTTTTTTCTGGTAGAGACAGGGCTATGTTGCCTGAGGTGGTCTCCAACTCCTGGGCTCGAGCAATCCTCCTGCCTTAGCCTCCCAAAGTGCTAGGATTACGGGCATGAGACACTGCACCTGGCCCAAGTGGGATATGTTAGGTTTAATTTCCAAAGGAACCAAGTCATTTCTGGGCCCTCATTTTATACTAAAACTCTGGCATGTAGGTAAAAATGTTTGTCTCAGAATTTCTCTTGTTTCTCCAGCTAACTATATTCTCAAAAAAATTACTATGAGAAAATTCTTAAACTTTTTTCCTGTGTAGTGGCCTGAGATGTAAAAATCAATGAGAGAGTGCAAAGCTTTAGACACAGGTGTTTCTAAATCACCCCCAGTCACTAAGTCACTGATGGAATAGCTGATGAGTTAGAAAAAGGCCATGAGTACAAACTCCTGACAGGTAAGAACATGACAGTGCTAGAGAGTTGAAATACTCCTAGACTAGGAGAATAAAGGTAAATTGCTGTCCCTGCTGAGCAGAGAGAAACTGCTATTCATATAGAAAAATAAGGAGTTGGTAAGATCAGTACCATGTGACCAGTAAGGGATGATTTAGAAAAACCTTCCAGGCTCGTTGCCTGTGACTCAAGCCACTAAGGTGATAGCCACATACACATGATCTGATGGGTTCGAATCCAGCCCAGGCCCGTCAAACAATGTCGGCTACAACCAAAAAATAGCCAGCCATTGTGGCAGGTTCCTGTAGTCCCAGCTACTTGGGAGGAAGAGGCAGGAGAATCACTTGAGCCCAGGAGTTGGAAGTTGCTGTGAGCTGTGATGCCACAGCACTCTACCCAGGGCCACAGCTTGAGGCTCTGTCTCAAAAAAAGAAAACCTTCCAATATAGTAATCATGAGATGAAATACAGTTTCCACAGGCCAATTTAATTTATTTAATGATTAATTCCAGAATTCATCTGTTTTCAAGATTGGTCAAATAGGGTCATCATAACAGATAAAGGGGTACAAATCCCTACCCACAGTCCTCCAGTTCTCAAGTCATAACTAGGATTGCAGGTTCTGCACCTATAGCTCAGAAGCTAGGGCACCAGCCACATACACCGGAGCTGGCGGGTTCGAATCCAGCCAGGTACTGTCAAACAACAATAACAGCTACAACCAAAAAGTAGTTGAGCATTATGGTGGGCACCTGTAGTCCCAGCTACTTGGGAGGCGGAGGCAAGAGAATCGCTTAAGCCCAGGAGTTGGAGGTTGCTGTGAACTATGATG